ACCCTAACCGTTTCTGAGCATATCTTAATTCTCCCCTAGCAGATCTTTTCGCCCAGACATTTTGATGTACCTAAAGGTCCAGAGATGGATTCCAATCCCTTCAGGAGAGAGAGGGGAGGAGGGATAAACGGGGAGGGGGAAGGAAGAAGGGAGGGGAGAGGAGAGAGAGATGACAATTGGTGTGTGTTCAAATATTGACAAATCTTCCCAAGGTCATCCTGAGGCAAGGACAAGGTGACAATGGACAGTCTGCTCACCTTGACCTTAGGAATTGGGCTGCCTGGTGTCTTAACTGATTCCAGAAACACCCCATGCTTGCACATGGCTGCAGGTTGCACATTCTAGAAGGTCCATTCTTCTGGATCACGGTACTGATGCTGTATAGGAGAGAGGGGAGAGAAAAATGGCTAGGGGTGCCATTTTAAAAAGCCCAGCAGGATGAGGAAGTATGTGAGAGAGAACCGTGGAGGCAGATAGTGGGTGCTTTGGGTCAATAGAATCAGATGCTGGGTTTTTGTGAGGTTGAAAAATTTTAGGCCCCCCTGATTGGAGGATTGGGGTGAGGGTGGGGTAGGAATCTTCCCACTGACCCTAGCTAGAATGCCAAGCTGTTTTTCATGTCTCAAGGGGTTGTCAACCAATTAGACCAAAGACATTTGCTTTCTGGACTGCACCTAAAAGATTAGCCTGTGGGGACGGACATGGAGGAAAATGTGACACCTGCCTTGAGCATCTAGCAGGTGACCGAGGCTCTATAGAAACCATGGGTATGGCATGACTTGGTGACTCTGGGTGGTGTGTGTATAGGTTTGCCTTGTGTCCCCCCGCCCACATTCTCTCAAATATCATCTCCACATCTGTCTTCCCAGGCACCACTGGGAAGAACCCTACCTTCATTGAAGGGTCCAGTCATGCAAGCAGCTAAACCAGGACTTGGCCATGGATCTAGAGTCTGTGCTTACTGGTTGGTGCTCCTTGATGCATCCTCGGTGTACTTTGCTCTTTCTTTCTTTCTTTCTTTCTTTCTTTCTTCCTTTCTTCCTTCCTTCCTTCCTTCCTTCCTTTCCTTTCTTCCTTCCTTCCTTCCTTCCTTCCTTTCCTTTCTTCCTTCCTTCCTTCCTTCCTTCCTTTCCTTTCTTCCTTCCTTCCTTCATTCCTTTCTTTCTCTCTCTTCCTTCCTTCCTTCCTTTCTTTTTTTAATGTTAGCCTCTTTCTATCCCACACAGACTAGTGTTTGCTGTGAGGTTCATCTTTAGTGAACCACCTGCCCTTTCCCAAGCACCTGGCCTGAGGCTGCCTAAGGACAGGCTCCAAGACTTTCTTTGGAGTCATCAGCCCTCTCTGCCAGCCAGGAGTGACTCGACCAGTCCTCTTACCCACTACAGCTGAGCCAGCGGCTTGCCCGTCTACTCCCAGCACCTTCCTTTTGCTTGTGAAGTCCATCCTATGAGCACAGCATGGCTTCAACATTTGCTCAGGGAGTTTGTGCTATTTAAATGAAAAAGATCTCAGGAAGTAGCAATATTTTCTACCCTGGTGCTTCAAGCCACACCTGGTGACAGTCTATCTTTCTTTCCCAATCCACCCTGCATGTTCAAAACAAAGTCCATCATTCCATACCTCTCCAGTTCAGCCACTGCCTTGCACCGGCCTTGTGTGGTGACAATGGCTTTGCCTTTCCCTGGTAGAGGCTTGTCTCTCCTCTATACAGTAGTGGTTCTAAGCCTGCATGACTCCCTCTGGCCCCCAAGGAAAACTTGAGGTAAGGCTGGGATGTAGCTCAGTTGGTAGACATTCTTGTGAGTATATACTAGGCCCTGGGTTCTATCCCCAGAACTGAATAAAGATAGTGGTGCACACCTGTAATTCTACACTCAGAAGATAAAGGCAAGAGAGCTTCAAGTTCAAGGTCATCCTTCGATGCATAGTTTGAGACCATGTTTCAAAGCAGAGGGGAAGGGTGGCACCATGACAGGGATGACAGACCTACATGTTTTGTCCCCTGCCACTCCCAGTCCAGGAGGCCTGCCATACTCTAGCTGCCATGTAGTCTTATCCTGGGACTTCCATCTGTCCCTGCACTGCCCTGGAGTCACATTGGCTGCCTGTAGTCCCTTGAGACCTCCCTCTGGGCTGCTCCAGGTTCAACATCCTCTGCTCTATGTAGAGCACTCTTTCCGGTTGTTCTTGACATGTATTGCTCTGGAAATTCACGTGGTAAGTTAGTCAGATTCTCCTTTTACCCCTCCTCACCCTTCCTCAGTTAGGAGGTCACTTGCAATGAGCACACTTCTTTCTTCCTGGGGTCTGCCAGCCTGAGTCTTTAGTATTATGTATTGGTTTGTCTCCCCAGTGAGAATACAGGACTTGCCCTACAGACAAGTGGAGTCATCAAATGAGTAAGTGCATATGTACCAATGCCATGGGGATCTCTACTTTTGATGGGTTGGTTCCCTTGCTGTTGTTGGGTCTCCGTGCCAGGCATTAGCTCATTAGATTTCCATATGACCTTGGGAGGTGGCTACATGTAATTCCATTTTACAGATCAGGATTCCAAGGCTTAAAAAAAAAAAAAAAATCCAAGGGAGACCACACAGCTAGCAACAGGCAGAGCCCAGCTCCCACGCCAAGTCGGTCGGCTGCCCAAGCCCACATACCACCTCTGCTCTGAGCCATGCTTGGGCATGATAGACAGGCTCCAGTGCTCCCTGGCTCTCCTGGACCTCTGCCAGACTGTCCTCATAATTATTCCATTGCAATCTACCCACTCGGTTATCAGATTTCATTTATCAGCCCTTTCTGTTTTTACCCTAACAAATCCTGCCTGTCAAACAAGAACTCTGAGACTTCTTTTACTTACTTGTTTTTGTTTTGGGGCCGAACCCAGGGACCTAATGTCTCTCACACGACATAGGCAAGGGCCCTGACATTGAGCTACACACCCATCACACCCCATTTGCAATCTAACAACACAGGCAGTTTGGGATGGAGCCAGAGAGGGTACTTCATGGATTATGCCAAAGCACTTGTGTGTTCAGGCCGACTGACCTTCGGAGGCTGCCAGGCACAAAGCAGACACGGACTACTTAAGGTGTTGGGCCCATACTTTTGAGATGAAAATCCCCCTGTTCAGGAGGGCAAAATGAGCAGTGTGGAATTTAGGAAGGAATTTTTGTGGGTTAAATTTAGGGGCCTGAAAAAATTCTAAGCCAAAAATATTTTTTGGCAAGTGTCATACAGCATTTTCATCTGGTGGAGAATGAGAGCCTTTTTCCCTGTGTGCCTGGCTTTTCCACACTGTCTTCCTGTGTGGGGCTGGTGCCAATGCCCCTGCCACCTCTGTGTTTTCTTTTTAGTAATGTATCCAACTGACCACTAAGGTTGAGGCCTTTGGATAGTGACGGTACATGTGTACTTAGCATCCCTCATAAATCAACCTTCATTGTTTCTTTAGGAGTCTCTTTAAAGTTCTTCTGACACACGTCTGGTGCTGGGGTTGTGTGTGGGGTGGACATAATGCTTTCTGGATTTCTCCTCTTGCTGGCCTTTTCATCTCATCTCCTCCCCAGGCTCTGTGGGTACCTCCCCTGTGGGGGAGCAGATGAAGTCCTGATTGACTGTATGTTGTTGTCACGAAGATGGCCATGTCAAGGACCTCAATGCCTCAGATTCATGGGAATGGCAAAGCCTTTCCCTGGTCCATGTGCAAAAGTTGTGTGTTCAGAAAATGTCACCCGCAGCTGCTTCCTCCTCTCAGATGTTTACAGCCTGAGGGTGCTCCCCAAACAGAGACCACCTACTGGGATTAGCAGAACCCCTCCCCCTGCTCTGTACAACAAACCTGCTTGGGATTCAGATATATAAAATAAATGCTGCTGTTGCTGTGTCTCCAGCAGAGCACACAGTCCATCTTTTCTGTATGTCTTCATGCACCATCTCCCCAATTAGGTCAATCCTGAAACCAGGAAGGTCAGAAACTGTCTCCATCCTCAGTCTTTCCTTTGGGGATAGCACCAACACTCAGTCACTGTGTCACTTTGCAAATAGAACTGACTCCAAATAACCCCATGGGATCGATATCTTTCAGCTTGTAGAGAGAACCGGAGCTCAGAGAGGTTAAATGACTTGCCCAAGGTCACTTACCTGGGACTTCAACCTGGCTTGTGCTGTTCTGGCTCATGACATTGAGTACTAAGAGCAAAACAGGCAAAAAGGTGTATTTCTTCCTTCTGCTCTGGCTAGGGCACAGTAGCAGGCGGGAACATCTCAGTCAGTTCTTAATCTATTAAATGGTGTGAGTTCCTTGATGCTGACTCACTGGGTAGTGTGTCCCCCCCCCCCCCCACACACACACAGGGTTTCTCTTTATAGTGAGCACTGGCTGTCCTGGAACTCACTCTGTAGACCAGGCTGGCCTTGAACTCATAGATCCATCTGCCTCTGCCTTCTGAGTGCTGGGATTAAAGGTGTGCGCCATCACTGCTGTTTTTTTTGTTTTTTTGTTTTTTGGATGACATGTGACCACAACTAGCATTCAACCTGGCTGGACACAGGTGTGGACAGTGGTCCTATTGGACTATGTCACTGGGCCCCTAGGCTGTGTATAGAAAAGATGCTGAGAAGGCTAAGAGTGCTGAGGGGCTGGGGCTCCTGGTCAAAGTTGGCTGGATGGAGCCATTATGGATCTCACACCAGCCCCTCTACTTCTCCAACTTTGTCCTAGATAGCCATATAGCATCGGTTTGCTCCAATATTCCTAGAGCTAGGGATACTGGACCAGCCAAGTCTTCCTAACTGCTCAAGGTGAGGAAGACAACTAACTTGAGTCACTAAGGGCCACGGTGGATAAGCAGCTGCATCTCACACGTCACAACACTTGGGCACATACTTGCCAAAGCACAGCTCATCTCGCTCGACACACTTTGCTTCGGGAGAAATCAAGTCACCTCCCCACCCTCCAAGGACCAAATTTTGTTTAGAAAACAAACTCCAACATCTCATCCAAAAAGAAATAACAAAACAAAACAAACTTTACTTGCATTTAGCCATTAATAAATAATTTACAGTATGTACACGCAGTGACACTCCACACAGGTCGCAGACAGGTGGACACAGTGAGGGGTCCCCACTTCCAAGCAGAACTGTGATCAAACACAACCAAAATAAAGTGCTTCAACTTTTTACTTCCAACATAGGGATAGCTAAAAAACCAGCAGGGAGGAGGAGGGGGCTGGGCTGACCCCTCCCAGCTACCCATGTGGTTTTGGCAGGGGTCAGGACCTCTGGGAGGGAGAGGCAGGTTCTGCAGCCTCCTGGCCAGTGTATGAGAGGTCCCTGGGGAGCAGCAGAGGGCTGTGCTGCAAACATTAAGTGGGGCTAGGGTGGGATGCAGGGCCACTGGCTGAGTGGCCCATGGGGCCAGCTGCACCACCATGCTGGTCCCTTGGGGACCTCTGGAACAGCAGCAGAGATGGGAATAGCTCTGGGCTCCCAATGGCAGGCCCCTGGCCAGAGAGTTTAAAGAAAGCACTAATGGGAAGAGACTCTGCCAGGGTACAAGGTTCTGGAAGGCCTCAGACACTACTCTCCCCACCAAGAAATCCAGGCAAGAGGGCTGGGGTGGGAAGTGGAGCCGCTGACCAGCAGTTAGGGAAGTCTAGGAGGCAGGTGAGGAGAGCAGAGGACAGGGCAGGCCAGCTGGCCCTATCCACTGGATCTGCTGCTCATGCCCTGAGGCCCCAGGGCCCCTGCTGAGGGGCTCTTACACTTGCTGGGGGTGTGGGGGGAGAGATAGCAGGAACCGGAGGATCAATTCTCTGTTGAAACATTCAGAACCAAGCACTTAGATTTCTTAAGTGCAATGGAGGAAGGGCAGAGGGTGGAGCCAGAGATGGGGATCCGAGCCCATGAGTGGCACTTCTAAGACCTCAGGCCAAAACACATCTTCCCTCCAACTGTGGGGCTCTGCAGGCAGGTGCCTGGGAATGGCACCTCAAACTCATATCCACGGTAGCTGGGATGTACAGGGCAGTCTCTGTGTAGCACGGGGTGGAAAGGTACCAGGAGGGCACAGCCTATTGGCCACACGGTTCCATCCATCTGTTAAAGATGCTGAGCGAGGGCTCTCTAGGGATGTCGTATTGCTAAGGAGGCCCTGCCTAGGGAAAGAACTGTGTAGATGCTTCAGCCCCACTGACATGGTGGCTTGGGGTGTCCCCATGGGCTTAGTGTGTGCGAGTGTGCTTGTGTAACAGTGTGTACGCGTGCGCGCGCGCGTATGTAGGAGGGCACAGGAGGCCCCAGAGTAGGTGTGCAGCAGTCAGCCGGGCCTATCTCAGTGCATTGTGAGGATGCGGAAGGAGCCAACTTTCCCAGTGTCTCTCTGGTAATGGGGATGGGACTTCAGCTTATGGGGCTCTGGTTTGCACATTCACACGGTGGGGTCAGGGTGGAAGAGCTGCTCTCCCTCTCACACAACTCTACTGTCACAAAAACACAGCACCAATCACCACAACCTTGTCGCGTGCACTAAGAGAGAGAGAGGAGAGCTGTCTCAGGCCCTGAGCCCCCCAGCCAAAGCATACGAGGGTGGCTCGGTACTGGCCATCATCCAGAGGCCACCTCTGCTGCCAAATGGTGCAGAGAACACTGGGTCACAGGGAGCCCGCCTGCTGGGCTGCATCCTGCCACTGACTTGGGCCCTCAGACAAAGGAGAAGGCAGGGACAAGAGCCCTAGGCTCCAGGCACCATCTGTACTTCCCTCTTATGTGGCCAAATGTCTACCACAACATAGGCAGCAGGGCCAGAAGTGTGAAGGTGCCGAGGAGCACCTGGGGGGCCAAGGGAAATGCTGCTGCAGCCACAGCACCTGGCAGTTCCCGAGTCCTTTCAAACAGGTGCAGCTTGTCCTTGTTGGAGTGGAGCATCTTGCCATCCTCCAAGGCATAGTAGGCAGCCAGTGTGAAGTTCACATCACCAGTTGTGAGGAGGTCGAAGACACAGGCCTGGTAGTACAGGTCTTCTACAGGCAGCTTCTCCTTGCACTTGGCCACAGCGGTCTCATACGGGAATGTCTCAGGGACCACAGGAGAGGGGCTGACAGCTGCCGGCCTACGAGGGCTTTCGGCGTTGGCACGGAAAGCCTGGAAGTCGATCTGCTGGTTGAGGGGGCAGCCCCGCAGGCAGAGGTAGAGGCCTTGGCTATCACGGTCCTCCACAGCGTTGACCACTTCCTCGGGCATTCTGACGGCAAAGGTCAGGTAGCGGCCCACCTGGCGTACCACGATAGTGGTGCCGATGTACTTGGCCTGGATCTCCACATGCTGGCCTGACACTTTCTCTGTGATCTTCAGACTGTTGGCCCCATGTTTATCCCCACCATTCTTGGAGCCATCCGCAAAAGCAGACGGAAGCTCATCCATCTCCGCTTGGTACACTTTCTGGTCCACACACTCTTGGAAGTTCTTGAAGATAATAGTGAGCTATGGAGAAGGGGAGAGAGGAGAGTGGATTAGGATTTGGGGAGGTGAGCCTTAGATGTTTTAGGAAACCGGGAGGCACTAGGGACCCACCCTCTTCTCCGTAGCGGTCACAGTTCAGTACCAACCACACTGTTGGACACTTAGTATTTTTCTTTATAACTTTCTTTTTTTTTTTTGTATTGTTTTTTGCTCCTTTTTGTTTTTGAGACAGGGTTTCTCTGTGTAGCTCTGGCAGTCCTGGGGCTCACACTATAGACCAGGCTGGCCTGGAATTCACAGAGATCCACCTGTCTCTGCCTCCTGAGTGCTAGTATTACAGGTATGCACCACCTGTAATACTAAATACTAAAAATACTAAATTGACTTAGAAAAACTTTAGTCCACAACCCTAACTAGAAAAATCAGCTGATCCACTATAGAGAGTGGTGAATCATAAAGGTAAAATAAAAAATAAAGTTAAAATTAAAAGGTCCAACTAAAAATACAAGTCCTCTGTCCACTATGGTCAGGCTAAAATACTGTTCCCCCAGACATCAGACACTAATTCATTCCAATTCATGAGTGTGGCCTAAGGGGCTTGGCAGATGTGCCTGGGTTAAGGACAGTGAGGTAGAGACATACCAGATTATCTGTGTGGGCCCAAGAATAATTACAAGTATTTGCAGCGATGAGACACATGTTGAGGGAGACACAGGCAAGAGGAAAGGCAAAGTGACTAGAAAAGTGGAGATGAGAAAGGTGCAGCCACAAGCCAAGGGATGCCAGCAGCACCAGAAGCTAAAAAGTTGGGAAGGGACAGCCCTGCTGACACCCTGACTATCTTGCATGGAGCCCACCAGCAGGTAGAATGGAAGATTGCAATGCTTGGATAGAGAGTGTGCAAAATCCATGCAAGCGAGGACAGAGGTCATGGCCCCTAGGCAATTTTGGGGGGTCACTTCAAGCTAGGGAGGAGGAAGAATAGGGGAAGCTGCAGGCTGTGGGTACAGCTCCCACACAGGCCAGAGCAGGGAGGTAGGTCATTTCCAAATAGAGCCTGAGGTCTACAGGGGAAGGGCTGGGCTGAGCTGCTTCAGCAGAGGCAGGCGGCTGGGTAGAGCCAGCAGTAAGTGTTCTGAGAGCGGCTGACACTCCCTGTGTTTGGCATTCCAGGTACTACAGTTATTATCCTTAGTCTCCTGTGGCATTCCAAGGTCAGGTGACACCCCCAAGTTTACAGATACCTGGAAAGCAGCAGTAACTTGCCCAAGGTCACACAACCATAGAATGCATGATTTTGTGTTTCTCACCTCTTGGGCAGTGAGAGATTCTCAACATGTGGATTGTGACCCCCTCCCAACAAATCTTTATCTCAAAAAAAAAAAAAAAAAAGATTTACTTATTATGTACACAACATTCTGCCTGCGTGTAGGTCTGCAGACCAGAAGAGGGCACCAGATCTCATTACAGATGGTGGTGAGCCACCATGTGGTTGCTGGGAATTGAACTCAGACCTCTGGAAAAGCAATCAGTGTTCTTAGCCTCTGAGCCATCTCTCCAGACCACCCCCTCCCCCACCCAATTTACATTATGATCTTTAAAAGTAGCAACATGAAAGTTATGAAGCAGCAACGAAAACCATTTTATTGTGTGTGGGGTCACCACAACATGGGGAACTGTGAAGGGTCACGGAATTAGGAAGGCTGAGAACCACTGCTTTTTAGGGTCTTATGGCCAATAGCCCATCAGGGTAAGGGGGGGGCAGCTTGGGAAGGGGCTGAGTGTGGTTTTCCTGCCCTGTCATCCTGGTTGAGATGTCTGGCTGTTTTCCAGGGAAGATGCAAAGCTGGAGACAGGAATAAGCCCATGGAAAGGATGGTCACTTCCTACAGGGGCTGCTAAGAACCAGCTGCTTAGCTGTGGGAGAAGGTGGGATGGGAAACTCTAGGTACCACTTAGGCAGTGCCCATCTGAAGGCAACAAGAACTTGGAAACTAAGCCTGAAGTCACAGAGGGAGGTGGCATATGGGGCAAGGTGACACCCAGAGTTTCGGGGGCTCCTTGTCACCCCTCTAACCCTTGTGTTGTCCCTTCCCAGGCTCAGTTACCACTCTCCTCTCTGTATAACAACACTCACTCCTCACGGAGAGGGAGGGGTCTGGCTAGCTAGCTGATAGGGTTCCAGGGGGACACTGCCCCAACTTCTATCCCAGAGGATCTGCTGGTTTAAGGCACCCAGGAAAGGGAAGCCTGACTGAGGCTGGCTGGTCTGCCTTGCTGCTCAGGAGGTTTGTGTGGCAGTAGTAAGGGACATGATGACATCCTGAGAAGGCTCACAGGGTCATGGTCAATACTGGGGTGCTAAGGGGATCTGTTCCAGTGAGTATGAGGACCAGAAACCAGAATCATTGCTTGGGTGGGGACCAGAAGTAGAAAGTGCAAGAACCTTGGCTCAGAGTCAACCAAAGGCCATCCAGGAAGGCCAGATGTGGGGCATGGGGGTACCAGACAATGCCCCACTGCAGCTCCAGATGGTCATAGCTGCAAAAAAGAACCTAGAGGCCAGGTAACCAGAGTGTCCTCAGGCCAGGGCAGTGGAACCTAGTGGTTTCTGAGCTCCTTGGGCTGAGCATGGTGACGAGGGTTCAGAGTTGTTGGAGGAGTTCCTCAGCTCAGCACTGTCGCTGTTCTTTCTATGAATACCTCATGCTAGCCAGGTAGTAAATGGTGGCAGCTAGGGGTCCTGGGACCTGAGAATACATAGAGCCCTGTTTTCTTACTGTACCATAGGCCCACAGGCAGAAGGGGTGGAAGGACATTAGTGGGGCCATTAGTCAGGCTACATGCAACTCTCAGGGGCTAGGGTACTCTAGCTTTTTTTGGGTAGGGGTGGGTTCCTTACTCCACAGAAATACAAAATAATGACAAAACCCTAACCAACCCCACCCTCCATCCCCCCACCCCTGAAATGAACCAACCAACCCAACCCAACCCAAAAGCCCTACTCCAATATCTTTTAGATTCTATTTGTAGAATACAGTCTGGACTAGATCATGCTACTATTTCTCTTCTGACTTTAAAAGAAACAAGACCTTCATGACTATGTTAGTGCAGGACCATGGTGGGGAACACCAAGTATGATGAGAGACTGGCTCATTCTATTGCTTTGTGAGAGAAAGGCTAAGGAGGTCTGAGTCCCCATAGTGTGAGCCCAGTAGGCACTGGCCACACAGTTTCCTAAGCATCAACTCCGCTTCCTGTTTCCCTCTAGGGCTCCCATTTCTAGTATGCACTGGGATGTCAAAGGAGGCTGGAGCCCGTCCCTGCTGCAGAGCCATAAGCCTGGGACCACATGAAAATGAAGTTACTCTCCTGTCCCTGACCTAAGAAAATGGCGACTTCATACAGTTCGGCTTCCCCTTTTCTTCCCAGCCAACAGCTTGTCCACTGTGGTGTGTGGAGGCACCTGCAGGGATAAAGGTGGCCCAGTCAGGGTGGTCTGGGAAGTGGGTGGTCCTGCCACCGGAGGGAAGGCAGGGTGAGGGACGCTGGTGTTCTTGTTTTGTGTACAAGGCCACACAGACATGGGCAAGGGGCTCCTGCCTTCCAAGTGTCACCAGTCTCCACTGAACAGGAAAGGCTGGTTTGGCTTGAACTGCCATCTCTCCTGGAGACAGCCTCCTGGAAGGCTGACAGGCTCCCTGACTCCTTGGCACTTGTGCCAGGGACACAACCACAAGTAGCAACATGAAGGGGGCCTGTCGAAAGCCTGGCGGCCTGCTGCCAACCCACCATGCATGGATGACTCTGCTTTTGGTATCCTCCTTCTCAAAGGGGCCCCTGGACCTCTTAGTGCCTGCCTCCAATGAGAGAGATCCAGAAAGTGAGAGAGCGTGATGGGGGTAGGGGAGGGGTAGGGAGAACATAACATAACAGGCTTCTGAGTGCTTGGGGAAAATAAACAAGGGTGAAGGTGGGTGAGGTAGAGCCGAGTTCCTGCCCTCAGAGCCTCAGTTTCTTTGCCTGTAAAATGGGCACAACCAGTCAAACTGGGAGGAGGCAGTGGAGTGGGATGCTGACTGTCGAGTCTGCCTTTCTATAGAAAATCCTATCTTGACTGCCCTTGAAGACAGAGGGAAGAGGGGCCAGAAGGGCTAATGGCAGTACCCTGGGAATGCACAATGACCCTAGGTAACGTCATGTGTATATGGGGTCAGATGGAGGGTGAGCAAGACCACCAGCTGGTGAGGTCAGGGTAAGGACCAGGTTGGGGCTGTTTCTGAGAAGTCTGGAGTGTTGGTGAGGGAGGACACAGGGGAGAGTGGACCCTGCTGGAGCTAGAGTCCAGGCTCTGGTGAGAGGAGGTCCCCCAAGACTATACTGTTTTGGGGATGAAAGTCTCTTCCATCCTTTGCTTCCTATGTTCCCCACCTGTTCACCATCATCCGGGGACTCCCACTGTCATCTGGGGCCAGCTCAGTGGCAGACCCTCCCAGTTCCCCCAGCAGAGAGAGCTACAGCCAAAGTGCCCTGCTGTCCTAGCATCCTGTGCTGGGCTATCTGCATGAGCTAGCGACTGCCATCAGGGAGGGCATAGCATGGCACCAAGAGGCAGGCATGAAGGGAGAGTCCACGCTGCTGGATCAGAGAGAGCACACATACACTCGGGGAGCAAGAGGCTCCAAGAACAGGCAGAATGCCAGGGCACTGGAAATCGGCCACTGAGGTAGCTCATCTGGGGCCCACAAGCCTCCCAGTCTGGTCTGAGTCTTGAGTTTGGCTTGGCTACACATACCAACACTGTCACTGTCTGGTCTTTAGCAGAGCCAGGCTGATGGGGATCTGAGAGTTGTCTGCCTGCTGAGATCAAAGGTCTGGGTCACAGAGGAAGGACTGGTCTGGTCAAGCTTGGCCACACAACCCCATACCATTCTGGAAGCCTCCATGTTGGTCTGGGTGGGGATGGCCTCCCATTTCTAGCTGAGGCAGTTCTTTGGTGCCAAGAGCCTTGCATCAAGCCTGAATTAGCATACACATCTGAAAGGCAGGCGAGGCATCGAATGAAGCACAGAAACAAATGAACAATTAACTCCCTAGATTTGTGGACAGCCCTACATGCTGAGGGCTGGAGTGTTAGGTGTACCTCACTCCTGTGTTTTAAGGCCAGGCATACTGCCTCACAACACACTGCCTAAGTTCCAAGGTGGCAGAGGTCCAGGCCCAGCCTCCCTCATCACACACAAGGCTGTGTTTGAGCTCTGCTGTCACACTCGGTGATCACACCTTCCTGGGTCAAGGACCCCATCCCTTTTGTATGCTCAGGTCTCCCAGATGCCAGCCTTCAGGAACCCATGGCATGGGGCAGGGACACTGGGTCTCTTCCAGTCCTGGGGTTTGCTGCATTTAGAAGCCACCGCTGCAGGCTCCCAGTGTTCATTTATCTTGGCTCTGGGGAAGGAGGGTGGTTAGCAGCCGAAAGCTGCAGGAAGGTGTTTGGATCCTTGCCTGGGGCACCCTTAAGTCTTCTGATGGAGGGAGGAGGGGAAGGAGGGAGGAAGGGAGGGAGGGAGGGAGTGTGTGTGTGTGTGTGTGTGTGTGTGTGTGTGTGTGTGTGTGTGTGTGTGTGTGTGTGTGTGGTGGGGAGGAGAATGCTCTGGTCTCAGATCTGCTGCCCTCTAGGCATCATGATCTGGTACTATGAATCTAGTAGGGCAGCTGTGGTTTTTTACCCAGTATGAGAGCCCAGAAAGAGAACTCCTTTGGTAGGTCAGGGCCACCAGAGCAGAAGGAAGTGTTAGCTATGGAGCATTTTTTCTGGTTGCCAGGTCACCTCACTGTCCTCTTCTAGGGTGTGGCAGGGAGAGAAGGAACAGAAACAGCCTTGTGGGGCAGCCTGGCACTGCCTAACATGTGGTCTCCCAACACATTCCTCCTGGGGAAATAGACCCACTGTCTCCTAGCCACCTTGGAAGCCCCAGGGGCTCTGGTGACAGGGCTGGCAGCACACAGAGACCAGGTACTGAAGAGGGCAGACATGTCCCCACTGCCTGACAGTACTGCCTCCTCACCTTGGTATTTTACCTCCTGGCGAGTCTAAGATCACCAGAGAACTTCGCCACTCCCAGCAGAAGTAATCTGGGATTGATAGGAATGTCCCTTTGCCTGGGAAGTAGGGCCATGTCTCTTAGCTGCCTCTGGCACTAGATGTGAGCAAGACTGGAGACCTGTCACCCAGACACCGAGCCCTCCTGGAAAATAAGTGACCTTCAGCTGGCTCTGTGGCAGTGGAGAACATGCCAGGCTCAGCAGTTGTCCTGGTCAAGGTCAAATCCCAGCTTGGTGTTTCCCACCAAGCACATTTTGGGTGAGGAAGTCCCTTTGCCTTCTGGAACCTCCTGTTCTGTCAAAAGGAGTTACACTAACCAGACAGGACTGGCCCCAAAGATGACAGAGAGAGCTTCTAGATGACCCCTGGAATGCTCTGTTAGGCCAGTTCATACTTCATTCTGTCTTCCTTCATTCCAGGTGTTCAAGGCTCTCTTTGCCTCTCAGTGTCCAGATAAATCAAGGAGACACAGGGCAGAACTCTACCCAGCAGCTTAGGCTGTTCATCTATCCCATCTCACAGCCCTGGCCTCTGGACCTACATAAAAACTACCAAAGGATTTATTTGTTTATCTATTTTGTTGAGACAAGGTCTCACATAGTCCAGGCTACTTTCAAGGTACCTTGAACTAATGATCTTTCTGCTCCATTTCCCGAGTCCTGGGATTTCAGGGATGTGCCACCACATCCAGTTTTATGTGGTGCTGTGGACTGAAGGCTAGGCAAATAATCTAACAACTGAACCACACCCCCAGACTCCACTGGGGGCTCAAAAAGATAACCCACCAACCAATGGAAAAAAAAAAGTCCAACCCTATTCCAAAGAGTCAGTGGTCAAACCAGCCAGGAGGGGTGCATCCATCCTGGATGAGGGGTGCAGAGAGCAGTACTGTCTGTCACCTTCTACAATGGCTGCATTTACAAATGCAGCTGCAGAGGTAGCAAGGCCATTACACAGGCCAGACTCCTCTGATTGGGTTTTAACATGTTTCTACCAAGACAGAGTCTGGGGGTGAGACTACTCCAAAGGCTTGGGAATACGTGTTTTGGGAGTATTTCTGAACTTTGTATTTATGTGTATGTTTGTATGTGAAGTGTACCTGAGTCAATGGATGTGTGGAGGTCAGAGGTCAACATAAGTGTCTTCCTCAGTTAATTCTCCACTTTCCTTTCTGCAGATCTCTCGTAGAAACTGAAGCCCAGTAATTTGGCTAGACTGGCTGTCCAGGGAGCCCCAGGGGCTTTTCATCTCTGCCTTCCCAAGGCTGGGATGACAGGCTCGTGTAGCCACTTGGCTTTGTGTGTGGGTGCTGGGGATCTAAACTCAGTCCTCGCACTTGTATGCAAAGCACTGTATTGACCTTGACCGAGCCATCCTCTGAACTTCCAGTTTTAGAACTGTAAGGATGGAAGGAAAGCTGTTTCACCACATCACCTGTGTGACACATCTGTACACACACAAGCACACATCTGGAGGTTTCCCAACACTTGCTGTCACTGTACCCAACCTACTCAGAATGCATATACACTTTCTTATCTGTGCCATGCTAGGCTATTCTTACTCTATCCTGCCTAATTAAAGAGTGTATGTGTTTAGGGATAAGCACTTGGGACTAACCTATCGGGGGGCTCATCCCCGAGAAGCCCTCTCTCATTAGCTATTGTTTGCCTGTATACACGCAACACTCAATGGACTCAGTAGGCTGTGCATCATATAATATAAGGCACATGGACATGTACCACAATGACTAAAAGAGAGGTCAATAATTTGAGAGGTAATGGGATGGACAGGATTGGAGTGGGGAGAGAAAGAGGTAGGAAAGATTTAAGTACAGAAAAGTTACACAAATAAGCAAAGAAACCTATATATTTTATAGGCTGATTTCTGACACCAGAGTAGGGTCTCATGACTCCCTTGTGAACAATGTCTAGAAGTCTGAGAAACCAGAGGCAAAATACACAGTTGCAAGTTGGTTTATCTCCTGACAAGAAATGTTCAGAACATTTCTTTCTAAGCCAATTGCCTCTTTACTGTGAATAAGAACCCAGCAGTGCTGGGGGCATCCTGGTGCCAGCAGAGCCTGAACAGTGTGACCTGCAGGCCTGGCTCATCCTTGCCATATATATATATACACCTTACCTTGCTGGTGGCGGTGGCGGCAGAGCCAGGCAGCACAGGTGTGTTGGTGACTTGCACGTTCAGGTAATTATTGTCGATGAGCGGCCAGGCACCTTGTACCTTGCATGTCTGGAAGTGGTCTGTGAAAGTCCTGAGGTGTGGGTCCCCGAAGAGGCCGCAGTGAGTGTAGTTGGGGGCAGCTGAGTGTTTGTGGAAACTCTTCTCATAGTGGCAGATCTCGGGGCTATCCGAGCGCTCCTGGCTGTCCCCAGCTGGTGGGAGCGTGCGTAGGCGTGGCTGTGAGGTGGGGCCATCCTTGGAGCAGTTGTGCTGGCTCATGAGGTCCTCTATGCCATGGACAGCTGAGTGGTAAGCCAGGTCGCCCCGGCAGGTGCGGGCTGTCCGCCGTGTGCACAGGGCGTAAGTACGCAGGGCTGCACAGAACTCCGGCACGTCGTCAGAGGCAGGGGCGTGGCTGCCTGATGTGGCACTCCAGAACTCAGAGTTGCACTTGAGAATCTTGCAGGGGGTGATGGCTATGGAGAAGAACAGATGTGACATCATATTGGGACCCTCTTCTATAGACCTCTATAGATTAGAGGTGCGGGGTGACCTCACCTAAGATGGTGCCACCTATAATACATGTCCACTGATAAGTGAACTGTTGAGTAACTTGCCCTATCTAGCCTTCCAGATTTTTCTGCATAGCCTGCTATGGTAAGGAGGGTCCAGGCACATGGACCAGACTGCAGAAAAGGGCCAGCATTTACATTTAGCAGGATGGTGACTGTTAACCAACCATCCTTGGGCATAAAAAAAAAAAAAAAAAAAAAAAAAAAAAAAAAAAAAAAAAAAAAAAAAAAAAGCGCCAATACATAAGAAAGAAAACAAACAAAAAAGATACTCACATATACTTCCCAGAATTTCAGCAAAAAGCCACAGAGATGTAACAGGTATTTAAACCCTGCTCTTAAATATGTGCCCCATTCCTGCCATCATGAAACCTTGCAAAACTCTCTGCCTCTTTATACTCATTTGAAATAAGGAATAACAATAGGGTCTACTGTGTGAATGTGTTGAGTGTTAAATGACTTATCGCACACAGCTTTGGGGCCCAGTGCCCTTGCTCACCACAGCTGTAAGTATGGAGATGACCTTATGAATCAATGCATTCCCCAGTCCCTCCACCAGGGCAAAATAATGACAAATACCAAACCGACTTCAGCTTTTCCTGTGGGAGCTTTCCTGGCACAATGAGGACTCCACCTGTCACAGGTCTTGGACCTCGCTCTCTGGAGGTCCTGGGTCCTGCCTCTAGCTGACTAGTTCCCAGGGACTGTTTCTTAGGGTGGGCAGGGAGCACCATTAAATTCAATCAATGTTGGCTGCTATGGTGATTGTATCCTGTCACAGAGGATCTGGGTCATCTCTCTGTTTCCTATAATCTGGGAAGCTGATGGAAAGAGCTGCCTTTGAATCTATCTGCTCTATTATTATTATTATTATTATTATTATTATTATTATTATTATTATTATTAATGAGGGTGTGTTTGTGTGCACATGCACCTGTCTTGCTTGTGTGGAAGGCACAGTATCTTGGGGGAGTTGGTTTTCGCATTCTACATTTCTGAAGCAGACAGTTATCTAGCTGGTTCCTTACATGCTTCCTGCACCAGGCTGGCTGGCCCAGGAGATTCAGACAGACACCCCTCCCCCATCTTTACTTCCCATCTCTCCATAGTGGCACACTGGCATTACAGACCTGTGCATGACTGTGGAGCTCCTTGCATGGGTTCTGGGTTGCATGTCAAGCACTTAACCCACTGAGATGGCTGGCTGGCAAATAAAGTCATTTAGAAACCTTGAGACCTTAAAAATGGCCAGGTTTGAGAACTGTGGCTTTAACATACCTATATCTTGTATTGGACACAAGCAATCTATTTTCCTGGCCTTCTTGATTCTTTCATACAACCTACAGTGACCATGAGTGGTCAGGCACACATCCACCCAGCAGGATCAACATTTTTCTGCAGGCCCCAGGATAAACGGGGCTGGCAGTCCAGCCAGAAGGCCAAGAGTCACAGTCCAATGCTGGCAAGAGAGGTATCTGAAGAGAAAGGGGCCTTGCTCCAGGTCTGGAGTAACTTGGTCTGTAGCCTTGGAAAATTCAGATTGTATCACTCCTGTTGGACTTCCCTTTAAATCAAGCTTCAAATCAAAATGAGAACAACTCTTTGAGGGTAGGGTGATGGGAACATTTATTCTTCCCAGCAGGGTCCCCCGGGGATACCCTTGTCTGTGATGTGTGCCTGCTGATCTCCCATGGAGCTTGGACCTACTTAGGGGATAGAAGTGCTTCCACCCTGCTCCTAAAGGCATCTGCCCCAGCTGTCACACCTGATGTGTGGTGGTCTGAATGAGAATGATCCCCATAGGCTCATATATTTGAACACTTAGTCACCAGGGAGGGAAACTGTGTGGGAAGGATTAGGAGGGGTGGCCTTGTTGGAGGAATGGGCTTTGGGGTTTCAAAAGCCCAAGGCAAATCCAGTCTCTCTCTTTGCCTGCTGCTTTCCCATCAGGGTGTAAAGCTCTCAGCTACTGCTCCAGTGCCATGCCTGTCTGCTTCCTGCCAGGATGATCATGGACTAGCCCCTCGGAAACTGTAAGCAAGCCCTTACCTAAAAGCTTTCTTTTCTAAGAATTGCCTTGGTCATGGTTCTCTGTAGCAACACAACAGTAGCTAAGGCATGAGCATAGAGAAGTCCGTCCCCACGAGACTCAGGCTACCTGTGTTTTCTATACCTTTGGGAAACAAATTCCTTTTGGCTGGTACCTGTTGAAGATGGTTTTCTTTTAGTTTGAGAAGTTATGTATTTATTTGAGCATTAGGGAAAACACGGATAGAAGAGTTAGTTTTCCCATTTTTATGGCTTTATGTAAATTGAAGGCTGACTTGCATCAGATTAGAGTGCTTGAGAAGCAACAGCAGGAGGGCTGCAAGTTCTGGGATAATTTGTGACACCTTGTCTCAAAAAACAACTGAGACCGGGCGTTGATGGCGCACACCTTGAGTCCCACTGGCACTCAGGAGGCAGAGGCAGAGGCAGGCAGATCTCTGTGAGTTTGAGGCCAGCCTCGTTTACAGGGTGAGTGCCAGGATAAGCTCCAAAGCTACACAGAGAAACCCTGTCTCAAAAAACCAAAACAAACAAACAAAAAACCAAAAACAAACAAACAAACAAAACCCCACAACTGAACAAAACAGGACCAGTACATCAGCCTAGGCCATTGGTGCCTGCTGTATAGAGGGATGGCAGTCACGGAGCACTGTGACACTTCACCGAGTGCGGCCTCCCGGAGTCCGTAAGATGTGCACCTGACACCCACAACCTGTGGTGCCCGAGGGCCTGGCTTGTGTAGATACAGGAAACCCTGGGTGTGGCCCCTCCAGATGGAGGTGGAGTGAGGCAACAGGTACAAGGGAACAGGGCACACAGGAACTGTTGTGGCCACGTGCTCTTCACCTTGGCTCCAAGAGAGCAGAATGCTGACTGGCTATCCTGCTATCTCAGAATCACACAGAAGGGTATATGAGAAAAGCACCACAGACATGGAGTCTGTCTTGATTGCAAAGTACACTTGGGTTCATTTCAACCTCTCTCACCATGACGGAAGGAACAAGCGATGGAGGCTCTCGACTGTCCATGCCCACACCCTCCTTCAGAGCTGGCATCTCCAAATCAGGCTGGTTGCCCTGCTGTGGCTGACAGATGGTAATACAGGTCTGGTACTCTTGCATCCAGGAACCTAGGGCTCCCATTTGCTCCCTACTCCTGGGTAAACTACAGGACCCTAAGAGGGCTTCTTTGTCCCTTTTTCTCAGCCATGTGGAGAACATTCTCTATGCTACTGTACCTCCCCCTACCCCCACCCCCCCATTTCCTTCCTAGGTCCTCTTCAAAAGCAGCTACTTTCAATGGAGGTATCATCTGGTCATGTATCAAAGGTCTAGGCAGATTTAGCCTCTCATGCTCTGTTTTTCCATCACTTCATAAACCTGTTTCCAAAGTAACCCAGGCCTGGCATCACCCCTTAGCTCTGCAGAAATACAGGGTATTAATCAAGAAGGGGCAAGTAAACTCTTGTCCACCCTCCCCCCCCAGCCTGGGTGACTTATGCCCCAGCCTGATTCAGGGCACCCATTTCATGGCATCCCAAAGTACCACCCCCACTTGGAGGATGGAGCAACCAGAAGGGCTGGGTCCTGGACTTGTGATTTATCTTAGCTAGTGAGCAAATGAAGAAACGTTGGGTTCTGTGCAAGAAAGAAAAATGGGGACACTTGTGAGCCATAAGATAGCTAGTTGACAGCTATATTGTGCAAGTATGTGTGTGCATATGTTTCTGTGTGTGTGTGTGTGTGTGTGTGTGTGTGTGTGTGTGTGGGTGTGGTGGGGTGGGGGGGGGGGGGGGGGCAGACGACAGACTGAGTGTCAGCAAACAGCAAGTGACAGATTTATGTCACAGACAATACCTAGTTAGTCTCACAGAAATGGGGGCCACAACTTGGGGGCATTCTGGGTTTGGGGCAGGCATCCAGGGTCAAACCCACAATTGTGTGACCTCCTTGAGCCACAGTCATGCAATGGGGTGGGGTAGGGCCAGAGGTGCTGACTAAGCCAAGCCTGCAGAACTAGGGAAAGAGGCTCCAGGAAAGAGGTTTGTGCTGTTAACTTTGTTCAACTGTCATTAACGTAATTAATGTGACTTTAGGGTTTACTATTCATCAGATGTGTACACGTTGCCTTTATTCTGCAACGACTCCAGGACCTACTATTGCCTTCAACAGACAGGCAAAAAAGGTACACAAGCCTTGAATAGCTTTTCTTTTAAGGTTTCTCGATGCAGGCAGGATGTAACCACAGCTCTTTCTCAGTCCCCAAACTGCTGTGGTCTCCCCCCTCCAAAACCAAACTGCTTTCATCTTAGGCTGTCACTACTACCCTGGAGGCAGGAATTTTTTTTTAATCTTCATTTTACCAGTGGGAGGCCTCAGGGGGTGGAGCTGCCCTGGGTCACAAAGCCACAGTGTGCTTCAGATATGCACTGGTCTTGGGACTGTTTCTATACCTCCCTCCCTCTCCCTTCCTTCTCTTTCTCTCTGGGGTATGCATGCCTATGGTGTTTGTATGCAGGTAGCTCCCACCCCCACCCCTGTGTTTGTGTGCCCATGCATGCAGGGTGTGTGTGTGCGTGTGCACACATGTAGCATAGTGGTTAATGTCACTCAGGTGTTCCATCTTATTTCTTGAGACAAGGTCTTTCCCTCAACCTGAAACTTGATGTTCTGGCTGGACTGGCTAGCCAGCAAGCCCTCAGGATCCACCTGTTCACATCCTTCCAGAGCCGGGGATACAGACATGCGCTACTGTCTGTGCCTGGCTGGTGTATGAATGCTCAGTGTCCGACCTCAGGTCCTCAAGCTCACACAGCAGGTGCTTTATCTACTGACCCATCTCCTCAGCCCCATTCTGT